AGCACGACCACAGCAGTACATTAAGGTTGAAAAGGAGGCTTTTCATCGCCTAGCTAATTATCCGGCTGCGATCTCGGAGAATCAACACCATGCGACTCTTCCTCTGCCAAGAAAGGTTGCATACATTCTACATAGCAACCCGTCGTATATTGCACCAGTAGTCGAAGCCTTCTATCTTCGAGACCCCATCTCCATCCGGCTCATCCAACCCGAAAAGTCCAAAACCCCGCTCACGTTCCCGCCGGAAGACTTTGTAGACGTTAGCGTTCGTTTCACTAAAGTCCTTTACGCTCAGCTTCTCGGTCAGCATTGGGAACCGCCCGCGCCATGGGACGCAGCACTGGAGCAGCTCGTCAAGTCTGGTAGACCAACCGAGAAGGCAGAGATCGGAATCAAGATTACAGCAGGCATGCAGATGCTTCTGTCGCACTCTTTATACACATCTCGTAAACCGACGCGTGAGATCGCCCTTCTCCTAGAGGACTTGGAAAGTGGCGACGACACACTTCCTACTGACGCCGAAATCGCCGGTTGGCCTAAGCGTGAAGACGATGAAGGGTGGCTCAACATTGACTTCTCCGAGTTCGAGAAGGAGCTCGAAGGCAAAGGAAGCGGCGCGAAAGACGCGTTTGGTGACAAGAATGCGGAGGAGAATTTGAAGAAGATGGTCGCACGCTTCAACGACTTCCTGGCCGACAACGAAGCAGGCGCTGAGGGTGCTGATGGCGTTCTGGACCCCATGGATGTTGACAATGACTCTGACGCTGGCGGCAGAGGATGGGAAGACCCAGAAGATAGTGATTCGCCAGCCGAGAACGAAACTAAGAGCAAGGGCACAAGCAAGGCGAAGGCCAGGAATGACGAAGATGAGGATGACACGGATGAAGACGACGACGCAGAAGCCGACGCGGAGTACGCCGAATACGAACAAGCCTTCGAAAAGTACATGATGCTACCCGCGGCGGAGAAAGCCATTCTCACAGAGGAAGCTCGCGCACTAGCGCTCGAACAAGACGCTGAAAAGGAAGAAGACGGAGAGATTCAGAAGCTTTCTGAGATGATGGAAGCTGAACTCTTCAGCCATGGCGCGCTAAACGTCAACCCCAAATCGGAACACAAGCTAGGAACAGGTCTCCTGTCCGACAGCAAAGGAAAGGGCAAAGGGAAGCTTCAAGAGGTCGCTGAAGAAGACGACGAGGGTGATGACGACGATCTTCTGGACGAAGATTACAACCTCGCTGATAACATGCTGAAGGCGTTCAAGGGACAAGCTGGTATGGCGGGCCCAGCGGGCAACATGATGAGGGCGATGGGCGTGCAGTTTCCACAGGACGCTGATGATGAGATCAAAGGAAGCAGTAGTAAGGGCAAAGGCGCGTAAGATGTCAAGCACGTACAATTATCTAGCCCAACAACTTCCGTATGAGTAACTTATGTCCCTTCCTCCATCCACTCATACTTATCTCTGCCCACTGCCACCTCCAGTGCCTCCGTCTCCACTTTGACCCCATTCTCCTCCAACGTACTGTTTCGCATACTTACTAGTCGCCTGTATATCGGCGAACTCTCAGCGACCAACTTCCTTCTTCTGTTTATTACCTCTGTCTGACTCTTCCCCTTTATCCTCAGCATCTGCGCAAGTTCTTTGTCCTCTTTACCCTCTACATACAAACGCAGAATCGCTTCGTCATCTTCCGGAGTGAAGTGACAAAGCTTTTTGCGCCGCTGTAGATCGATAACATCTTGCGGTACTTTTTTCATAACCTTAAGGGCTTGCCATCGAGATTGTATCGCTTCGACCGGGATGTTCATCTCGCGAGAGATGGCTTTGGGCTTCTGCACACGGCGGTGGCCGTCGATCACAGCGGCATCAAGCTCGGGAGTCCAGTTTATGGTGGCGCTCACGTCTCTTTGCCGGATGATGGCGTAACGATGCTGAGTAGCATGTGCGGTACGATTGAGAACCTGCGCTGCTTGTTCATAAGTCATTGTCTCTATCTCAATGAGACGGATGAGTTGGCTTTCCTCATCGTAGTTCCATCGACGCTTCTCGGCCGGGGCTTTCCGGGGACAGGATTCGCTGGGGTATAGGGCGTCCATGATGAAACAAATTGAAGGTCGTCCTTTGATTGTTAACGAGTTGAGTAAGCCGGTTTTGTGAGTGTTAGTGACCTTATGTGGGCATAGTAGCCGAGTATATATCTAGATAGGAGGGTGGCGGGAAGCGTCAGCTGTGACATGCGTTAGGCACCAGAAGGTGATCACAGCTTGAATATGAATTCACTTTGATCGAATAAGATCTCGTGCCCTTGCAAGAGTACACGAGCAAGTATTGTATAGCTCGGAGAAGCAGTCCCAGTCTGGCGTAGACCCCTGATAGGTAGCGATCAAAGTCATGAAACCGAGTGAATGAGAATACTCCTGATGGGAAATAGCTCGTTCTAGTATTGCGATTGGCTTTTTCACAATAAATGCAAAGCAAAAAGGTCCTAATGGGGTTCGAAATGGATGAGTTGAAGCTTATAGCACTGTTGACCATGGGATCTGAAAAGACCCAGGAAGAATGGTGCGCCCACTCGCCAGAAGCACTAGATGCTCATATGACCTGTGAAAAGTCCAATGCCAATATCACTGGCTTCGTATCCTCCAAAACTCATTCACATCTCTCTATACAATCCAAGGATCTTGGTTGTAGCCACCCTGCCTATGCTCGCTAATCAAACACCATAAACTCCTCCATGAACTTGTCTGCCTCCTCGTCGTTTGGATTCTTCTTCTCCTTCTCGTGATGATAGACCGAATGAACTGCCTGCTTGAACCACCGACCAAGGTTATACCTCACTTCCTCTTCATGACATTGACTGAGCCACCCAGGAGTGTGGTACAGGGCTGTTGCCGTCTTGCGGCAGCTATTCTGCACAGCCCGCAGGACTTGACCGTGAACCTTCCACCTTCTGTCGTCACCGCAGACAGCGATCCCATATTCTCCAATATGCTCCTTCGTAAGCGATGCCCACTCGGCCGCGAGGTAAGGTCCAACAACGCTGCGGAGAACGAAGCCGCTTTGTTCCATGAATACGCCGGAGGAAGGATGTGGTAGTTCGAGACAGATGTAATAGTAGTCGCCGTACTCGTACGCAATGCCGATTCTGTTCAAGTCTACAGTGTTGGGGTTGAAGGTGAAGAAGCTGTCTCGGAAGTAGCAAGAAGGGCCATAGTTGGGAGCGGGCTGGTCACTACCGGACGCCGGTAGAGGGGCGGTAGGATCGCTAACCTTTTTCGCAGTCTGGCGCGCTTCAGTGCCGGTCACCAGGCTGTCTGATCGTGCTTTGAATTTGGAAGCGTCTGGAGGAGATTTGACCGCGTCAGATGCATTGTGACGAGGACGCCGTGTGATGATACTGTATGGATATGCGTTGACGTTGATTTTGAGTACCGAGATAATGTTAGATGCTTCCGTTACTGTAGTTCGCGAAGCACGGTATTCGCGTTCCGCCATTTTGTAGGTAATATGCTGTCAGTCAGAGGTGGTAGAAGGAAAAAGAATTTGGAACGAAAGGTAGAATCGCAAAGATTGAAGTCGCGTTTGTGACAATAGTAGATCCTTGTGACGGAGGGAGCGAGCCACTTTAGGTGACGTAGAGTTCGCACTGTATCTCGCAACTTCAATTCAGCTTTTTAACGTCTTTCGGTTTCCTTTTTCGCTTTAAAGTAATCGTTCGAGGCTCGTCGACCATAGTTCAGCGCAGTGCTACGGGGAGTGGATGCCCGCCCCACTACGAGCGTCCAACCTTGGAACAGAAACGTCGCGTTGGGGGTCACTCGCAAAGTGAAAACTAGACCAATGTAAGTCCAGGTGATAAAGGTCTTACGGATATAGCGTACGTGACCTCCGAGAATTCGTGGACTTCGCTAGACATCCACCTCACTGTCACTGTCGGTCCTGACACCCAGCGTATCCACCCAATTGTCTCCACCTCAAGCATAATGTCCAACCCAAATTCTCTACCAGACATCGAGGCGGTCCACAGAAGCGTCGGACTGATCACGGCCTCCTCCGCCCCACTACCCATACCTACTGCGATTATCGCCGATCAAGGCGCCTACTGTAATGTAATCCGCACGACCTACATATTAGACACAAACTGACGTCACACCCCAACATTTAGACATGATCTGCTTCGAGCCCGACAATGCCGGTATCACCACGACCCCGCCGCTCTCTGCAAGGAAAGACTTCGTCGCCGCCAACTATCCAGACCTCGTCCAAGCTTGGAACAGGAAGAGAAAAGATGACTGGGAAGAAGCGCTACACATGAAGCAGAGGATTACCGACTACGCGGTCTTTTTCCGGGGTAGGCAGCGCGCTGGCGTATTGGCAAGACGCGATGCGGGAGTGGCATGCGATCAAAAGTTGCTCCCGGGGATGAAGCGCCATTTTGGTGAGTTGCGACCCTGCGCAACACACGCTCGCGAGCGGGGTGCCTTCCTGGTCTGTAACGGCTGTCGTGTCGCGCATCATGCGCAGGTAGAGCGAGACTTCGAGCGAAATCGCCTGATGACGGAAGGAGCGCGCGTGCCAGTGTGCGAGTTCTGCGCGAGGAGGTCGGTCCTGGATCTGGGAGAGGGACACCGAGGTTGTGCATGCGATCAAGACTGGCAGTGTTTTCGGTGTCGGGAGGACTTTCTCAGGAAACTCGCGAAGGCAAGGCAGCGGTCGCACGTGGAGGGGAAGTGTGGGAAATGCGATAGTGTGGATGACGTCGTGGAGCATGTGAAAGTATGCCTCCTCTGTCAGGGAGTGAACGTGCGTAGCAAGCATGTGTGAAGGACGTTGAGATAAGACAAAAGCGGACATTTCGGACACGTGTTTTGGAGCTTCACGGAGAAAATACATAGCCGTTGCATTAAGAAAGCCTACTTTACCTGGGTCAACGAAAAGGCAATAGCACCATAGATGAAGTTGAACCAAATGCACGTCGCTCTTTCTTCGCGCAACCTCAGTACCGTGGCGTGAGTTTGACATCTAGCTTCCCCACTATGATGGTAAAGCAGTCTCGGGTCTTGTTCTCGATTGTACTGCCATCCTCACCCTCAGCAAAAGAGATCTCGAATGATCTAACAAGATTGGCAGTGACACTGCGCAGCTCCATCATGGCTAGCTTCTGTCCGATACAGTTGTACGGTCCAATGGAGAAAGGTAGATAGGCACGTTTGTCGATGATAGCACCAAGCCGTTCGCCGGTCCATCGCTCTGGCATGAAAGACAGCGGCTCTTCAAAGTATCGTGGGTCGCGTTGCAGGCTGTAGAACGGCATCCATACATTAACTCTTCCGGGTATATATGTGCCGTTGGGTAGAGTTATTCCTTCAGGTGGTGTCTCGCGCTGCGCTCCGGAGGGTGTCTGAATGTGTTAATGATGTCAATGATGGCCTCCTTGGGTGAATACTTACAGCAGGATGAAGGCGCAAAGTCTCGTTGATTACCCCGTCCAGATAAGCACACTCGGTGACGTCTTCAACATTAAGATGCGCTTTCTTCGTTTCGATTTCATCAATTGCGGTGCGCAGCTTGGCTTGGGTCTCCAGATTCTTGCACAGCTCGTACAAAAGAAATGATAACGTTGCAGCCACGGTATCGCTGATGATCATGTCAGTATTCGGGACTTTAGATGGAGGTTGCAACAGGATCAAGTGCAATGCCGTATCTAGGCAAAACCTCGTAACGCCTGGCACCAAGTACTTCATGGGGTTGCTTACCTGCCCGCTATGACCAGAAGCCGCGAATCAGAATTCATCTCGGGCGTTATCCGGTCGTCATTTGGGTCCAGCAGAGAAGAGAAAACGTCCTTCTCTTTGGGTGTATCCTGGTATTCGTGAGAAATCTTCATTGAGATGGAGGTTATCGCCATGGCATGCGTACCTTTTTCCGCTCTTCGAGAACCTTTGCACTCCAGGCTATATGCTCAAAGAGGGGTCCAGAACCGACAGGTGTTAGTGCGATAAGCCGCATCGCCCAAGAGATGTGCGCAAAAACACTTATGGGTGCGTGGCTCTCATGCAATAGCTTGATGACAGGATCTTCTTTACCCTTCTCCATCATGTCAAAGCTGCGGTTGAAGCCGACATCTCCCATAACATCAAAGCTGTAGAAGTTGACCCAGTCTGTAATTCGAACTGAAGATCGTGTAGCTCGCTCTTTGAGCTTGGACATGAGAGTAAGAGCATGGCGGTTCAAGCGAGGCTCATATTCGCGGAGAGCATTTGCGTTGAATGCACGATCCCACATCTTGCGCCTTTGTCGATGTTCATCTTTGTTAGTTGTGAAATGAAGAGAACGCCCTGCCACTTCGGAAATACTGTCGTATATAGTGTTCTTCTTGCACTTCGAAGTCGCTCCATGGATCAGAGGAACGGCGTCAGCGCAGTAGACCGTGACTTCTACATTTGGACAGGCAAAGTCAGTGTCTGTGTCACACACACCTTCATTGTCTTGGGCTTACCTCTAGGACCAGTACGAATGACGTCTTCTCCGTACTGCTGGGGTAAAGAGTCGAGCCATGAGAAATACTGGAAGTTGGTCGAAAGTACTCCGACCGAGATGCCGTATGACTTTGAGAATCGGGCGAGGAAGGGGCCAGGGAACTTTGCAATGTCAGCAAATCCTACTTAATCAACGTCAACGAAGCGCTTGCCTTCCGCAAGCGATGGAAGAATCCCCTATGCAGTGATATGCTGGCAATCAAGATGGCGAAATAGAATGTTGCCGTCCTTGCGGCAAGCTGGACTGCGACACCAAGAGATTTAGTGGACGTATCAGCAACATATTCCAGAGTTGCAAGGCCTCCAAAGGCGAAAGTCCAGAACCCAATAACTGTGTGGAAGGTGTTGTCCCAGTCACTTCGGTGAAGAGCATAGTGAGTTGCCAATGCTAGTGACGCGATTAATGTTTTGCTGTGTGTAAGCTCCATGATTCCGTACGACATGGTAGCTGATGGAGAAGGAGATAAAATGTCTCGAGAGACGTTGGAATGATGAAGGGGTGAGGAGCTCAAGAATGGAAGGTTGGACCCTGGAAAGCTGAACATTTGGACGGATCGTACGGGTGAAACGCACGATCTTGGAAATTCGTGTTAGCACGCGCGGCTGAGAGCTGCAGGTAAATTTTGACCAGAGCTGAGGGAGCACAAGATTTTAACAATCGCCATTGTGCTGCGGCGTAGTTGACGCAGCAAACATTGCCTCTGTCATGCTGTGCCTCCTATGCCCAGGTCTGAGGTGGATATTTTGGAATGCGCCTGCGGACCGTTAGCTTGCAGGGATTACGTGCTACCAAAGCGGGGCACTAACCTGATGGAGGCTACTTGGCAAGAGCTCCTTGCTTGACAATCGCGTCGCTGCACAATCTTTCTTTTCGGAACTCTACCAATCCCCAATTACATGCCGAGGTCTCAGCCCCTAGGTACATCGAATGGTGTCACGACGCGCTTATAAAGCCACCACAACGTGAAACTATTCTCCTAACAGAACCTTGCTGATAAGCCCTAGACTAAAGACATCCCGAAGCCTTGAATGTGTCTCGGACCTGTCGTTGCCAAGCGGTCGTTGAGTCTTCCTCGCTCGATTGAACCCTGTCATCTTCTGACTCGCAGTCGCTGTTGAACATCTCTTTCCTGGAGAATTCACGGCTGATGGGAATGCCATTCTGCACGGCGACTCGGTAATGCACCTGGAAGTCAAGCCTGGAATCGATGCATGAGCCTGATCCATCCGCTAGCTTGCTTCGTGGTTGTGCAAGCATGTGGCACCGCATGTGAGATATTGTATCTGCCACTCTTCGCAGCCGCGGACGATCAAAGTTCCAATGTACGTTGAGGTGTTCGAGCGTTTCCACTTTCAACAACGGTTCGATCCAGGAAGCGACCCATGGTCTTGGCCCAACGGTCATCTGTGCTTCCCACAACAAACACTCTTCCGCTGAAGAAGGCGCAGTGTCATAGCGCTGATGGGAACTGCTGATCATTAGGTGAAGCCTCCGTAACCCCATGCGCGTGGTGGACAAGAGAGTACAGAGGTCCGTGAAGTGGTTATAAGCGAATTGCAGCACAAGCGAGTCTGTTGACCTGCGGAGAACGGGATAATGAGCTCCAATGGTGCCTCTCATATTGCTCGCTTCCACTAACGCAAGCTTCATGGAGGAGATAAGCTTGAGGGATTCGGCAGGCCTGTCGCACAAGAATGCGAAAGCGGTCGGTATGCTGAGGCTTTCCGTAAAGCTGAAAATATTCTGTCCATAAAAGACCTTTCTAGCTTCGTGATAGATCTGCCGGCATGTTTGCAACAATCGAATTTCGATGTGGTTGGACGACGTGTCTGATGGAATTGCAAGTTGATATGTCATTCGGATGTTCGTAGGCCCATCCCTTGAGTCGTACTCCGCGGAGGTCAGACCAATGTCGAAGCGAGGTGTCAGCCAGATCCGTCGGTGGGCGCGTAGACGTCTCAACGGGTAAGCTTTCTCGAGCCCACGGGTACTGCGGCAAGCCGGAGCTTCCAATAGGACGGCTGCGCTTTGAACAGGAATCACATCGCATACGAGAACGTAGCCATAAATAAGATCTCGAAGCTCCCGCGGAAGTTTAAGAAGACGCGAAGACATGGTGGCACAGATCAGGGGTTCACTGCGCAGCCGTTGAGGATAAAGGCATGTCAAGTCGATTAGGGGAGATGTGATGACGCCGTTCGTTCCAAGAACGGCTAGGCCAATTGACCGCGCACCTGGACAGGGGCCGAGGTCGGACTATCCCCCGCTCCTCTCCTCTCGCGCCATACGACCACCTTACACAAGAAAGAAACTGAACAGGTGCACTGGCGTCTATAGTAAGGTAATAGCTGAAGTAAACAAGACCTGAAGGCAGTGTAGACTTCAGAGGGATGCGTGTCGAAATCTTCCTTTGCACGAAGCTCATTCTCTGTCAGCTCTAGTGCCCTTCTATCAATACCAGATGACGAGTATAGACTGGGTTCATGTTCACAGAAGAAAAGGTTAAGGAGTGAAGACTAGCTAAGGATGTGACAGTCAAATTGGCTATAAGCTGTATATACAAGAATCTTATCGATCGTCACTTCAGTTTTCCCTCCACGCTATCACCACCATTTCCAGCCTTGCGATACTCGTTTGCTTCCTAGTCTCCACCAAGTGTTAAACACTTTACAAGTTGGCAGCAATGAAGCTACGGAGAGTAGCCTGGCCAATGTTGGCGTACACACCAGGGGCGTTGGGGGCAGCGCAGCCATCACCCCAAGAAACGGCACCGAGGAGGACCTTGGTGGACTTGTTGACGATAGGACCGCCGGAGTCACCCTGGCAAGAGTCCTTTCCACCCTGCGAGAGACCGGCGCAGAACATCTGGGCGGTAACAGCCGAGGTGCCGTAAGAAGACTGGCAGGAGCTGCGAGAGACGACAGGAACATCAACCTTGAGGAGGTTGACGGGGAGCGACTGGCCGCCGGAAGAGGTAGTACCCCTAATTTGAAAGTTAGCTGTGTGTTTCGGACGGATTCTGAACAGACAAGAATGACAAGACTTACCAGCCAGCAACGGTGAGGGTAGTTCCAGCAGCAGGGTCGGATCCGGACGCGGGGAGCGTAGCGTACGAGACGGTGGAGCTGGTAGGGATGGAGGTGGACAGCTTCATGATGGCAATATCACCGTTGTAGGTGCTCGCGACGTAGCCAGGGTTGACCTTGATGGAGGAAACACGGGCAACAACACCGCCGGAGGTACGGCTCTGGATTCAACTTGTTAGCCTAAACAAATCTCATGGCCAAGGTGGAAACTTACGTTGGAACCAGCGCGAACTGTGAGGCTGGAGGCAGTCTGGCCAACAGCACAGTGAGCAGCTGTGAGGATGGTGTTGGCGTTCAGAAGGGTGCCACCGCAGAAGTGGGAGCCGGAGCGCTGGAGGGAGACGATGAATGGGAATTCAGCCGCGCCAGCGGTTGTTCCACCGACAATGTCCTCCTGGCTGCCGTTGTCCCAGTCGGGGATCTCAGTGGGATCCTGAGGGATGGCTGCGGAGAGCACCACCGCTGGGATAGCGAGGACGGTGAGGAGATCTTTGATCTGCATCTTGAAGGAGGTTGGCCGGAAAGCTGGTGTGGGACTGAAGCTGGAAGCGAAAGACTGCTGGTTCTCTGGTGAGGACTGGCCTGAGAATGAGAGGAAGGCAGCCTCCTATTTGTACTCGACTGGTCACTCTCTAGTCTTGCGACTTCGATATGGTGGTATACACCAACCTTGCCACATTGTTGTCGTGTGGTCCAGGTATGCTACTGGTCCCAAGACCGCTAGAACAGGGGATATTCGATGCTCCTTCTGCATGTAGAAGGAGAAAAGCAGTGTACAGCGGTGATTGGTACTGTTGCAGTTATAAGTTCCTTCTACAGCCTAGCATCTTTCATGCAGCCATCCGTCGAGATGGTGCTTATCTCCTGCATGACTATCGATACCCCGGAGATCCCGTGCTCATCGCCAAACGGGAAGCTGTTTTGGCACACTATCGTACAACTGGTTCTGCATAGTAGTGTCTCCGGCCCTAGGGGATATTGTGGTGAGTTCGGCCGGTAGTGGCTGGTTTCACGTGCCAACGTCGGTGAACGCCATGTGCCATCGAGATAGAGGGAAAAGAAATCTGGGAAACATAGGCTGAAGGCCAGTCAGCTGCTGCTGTGGCAGTACAAATCTCCAGCCTCTAGGCTGAGACTACGCCGGTGCCGGTGCCGGGTGATCTTCCTGATGGCGTTACATGGATGAAGATCCTAGGTGAAGAGCTACATAGCAACTATAATTGGCTCATTAGGTGGGAGATCGATGATTGCGATAAGATCTAGCTGATGAGCATTTGCGACCACAAATGACGAGTGGCCTGCAGCGTCCGGCGGTCTCCCCCATGGACTCGCTGCCAAGCCTTACCAAGCTTCCGTTTATATTGCAGTCGTGGGCGCGATATGCGAGATAGCAGATGGTTGGTGTGGGAGCATCGTCTCCCTGTGAGGTTTGTCTCGAAGAGGCAGTTACTGGTGAGGGTGGGGCTTGGCATGCGGCCCGGCCCCTGCTCATTCCCTCCGAAACACTCCGCCCTACCTGCTGCGATCGCCACAACACCTGAATCATCTCGTATGGACGCGGACTTCGCGACCTAATCAGACGGAAAAGACCTCTTAACAGTAGGTGGCAAGAACTTTGCCCCCACTGCGTCATTTATCATGGACAGGTATGAGCGAGGT